CAACCCAAAGGCAAGTGGTTTGAATCTACCAGCTGCTCCAAGGAAGGAGAGAGGTGAGCAATCTCCGATGTTATTTACAGCCTCAAAAACCTGCTGGAAGGTCAGCTATGAGTTGAGTTGAGTTGAGCTGGTATATGAACTCAAGCACCCTGGTGTCAGTAGTGCCTAATCTGTCAGGTTGCTAACCATAAGGTCAGCATTTCAAATTCACCAGTCTCTCTGCAGGAACTATGATGCAGTGAAAGTCCCAAACCCCTACATGCAGTTCCTTCCTGCTTACAATTTGTTTCTTTGTCCCTCAGCTTGTTCAATTTTAATAGAAATGGTCCCTCAAGTTTTTTTAAAGTGTATACTGGATTTTAGTAAGCTACTCTACATAACATATTTTGTTCTCCAAACATCGATAAAGAAAAATAAGTCATCCACAAACTATTTTATAGACAAATTTGTACACTACTATTTTGTTGGGCTAATTACATTGGGAAAGTCAGCTGTCAGCGACCTCTCCAGAGTATTGAATAACAACTTCAGTCTGGACACTAAGGTGTGCCTGATCCAGGCCATAGTCTTCTCAATTGCTTGTTATGTGTCCAGAGAGCTGAACAACGACTAGAGATGATAGAAAGAGAATTGATGCCTTTCAGCTGTGGTGCTGGAGAAGAGTGTTGAATATACCATGGACTGCCAGGAGAACAAACAGATTCATCCTGGAGAAGGTTTAACTGGGCTGCTCCTTGGAGGCAAGGATTCTGAGGCTTCGTGTGACATACTTTGGGCATGTTGCAAGGAGGACCAGTCCTTGGAGAAGGACATCATGCTTGGAAAGGGGGAAGAGAAAGAGAGAAAGATCATCAATGAGATGGATTGATACAGTGACTGGGGTAATGAGAGCAGTTGTGTCAGAGATTGTAAAGTTGGCATAGGATAGAGTTGGGCAGGGCTTAGGGCTATTGTACACAGGTTTGCTATAAGTCACAAGCAACTTGAAAGCACGTAACAACAACAGCAACAACTATAGAATAGTTCTCTTCTTCACTGTGCTATATAAAAGCCAAGGAGGATTAAACCTTTGACTTTGACTTCAACATATCATGCTAATAAAGTTAACTAACATGCAACTAGTTCATGAAATAAGCATAAGGAAGTACAGCATCTCTTGTCCACCAACTTCCTCTCACTACAGAAATAGAGAAATGAGGTTTTTTGTTGGTTTTTTTTTTCCCCTTTGAGGAGGTAGTTGTTACATTTACCATAACTATTGCATTTCTTGAATATTTTAATTTCCTTTTTTTCTATGGTAGATTGTGTTGTGTGTGAATCTATTCACACTGGAATAGTGCAATACTGAACGAGTGCTATCTGAAGAATTTTAAGTGTGAAATTAAGCATCACTACCCTGAAAAATTGCATTTTAGTTGGCATACACTTCTGGTACAGGTAAGGCTGATCTTTCATTCATTTTATCTTAAAAGCTTATGGTTTAGAAATTCTAACCAAACTAAACTTTAAATTATAACAATCATTAAGAAAGGTAGTCAGCACAGTAATTATGTATATGACCACCAGAAATTGAAGTTAGTTGTAAAAAACTACTGATGGAACTTTAGAAAATTTCTAGAAACAATTCTGTATATGGAAAGTGATGTTTCATTTGATTTTTAAACTTTACAATATTTTCTAAATTTCAGAAAAGAGAGTGATTATAGAACATTAAAAGGGTTTTTTTTAAGTATAGATATATAATAGATAAAAGTTTGACATCTGAGAAGCTCAAGGTATTGAACTAGTTCTGCTCTGCTATAATAATGGTCCTTTATCATCCCAAACTCCTCTTAATTTAATAAAGTTAGCCATTGATAAAGTCTTTTTAACCTTTCTTTTGTTCTGAAGCCTTTGTTGGTGTTAAATATAAAATAAAGGCAGTAGAACTGAATAATACAAGATAACAGATGCTGTATGAGATGGTCTCATTTAAAAAGATAGATTTCATCTTTATACAGAAACTTTACCCGATTTTGGAATATCATGTGTCATTCTCTACATAAGGCAGGGTTTTTCCAATATCACGTAATGAAATGTCACTGTTTATAACAATTCAGGATCTACTCTGAGCAGATATAATTTTTAAAATAAACGGGTTAATTTCTTTATTCAATTGATTTTTAAATTGTAGGGTACAGATTAAGATTTATATCTTTATAAATGGGTCTCTAATAAGCGGCCCTCAGTCTTGTTTTTAATTGTTTTTGGTCAAACACTCTTCTAGGTCATATAACCCTGGTGTGTCCACTTGGCCACACAGAAGTAACTTGTGGTTGCTGTGAAGCTGAACACTGTGACACTAATGTGTCAAAACCAATAATGGTTATCCATGGTGGACAGTGTTTGGTGGAGCTCCCCGATTAAAACAAGCTTGGAAGTAGGAGTGGCATACACTTGAGAAATAGCTTGCCTCCGGAAACTCTGTGAACCTGGAGGAAGGATGAAAGTCATGCAAGTGTTGACGACTTTCATTCATAGGGTCGCTATGAGTTGCCTACAACTTGACGGCACTTAACAACAACAACAACATAATCGGTTCTATACTAACTGCCAGTAGATTCCATCACCAGGCTGGGCAGGATTCAGATACAAACATATTCTGGAACACATAAATGTTTTATAAATAAAATTTTTTAAATAAAATTTTTAAAATGAAGGAAAATAAAATTATTATAGACAAATCTCTCAGAAATGTGACCCAAGAGAGCACAGCCCTCAAGTTTTTCAAATCTGTGGGTGGTTTAAAAATGATTTCCAAGTTGTATTTGAAAAAAATTTGAAAATCTAAGGAGCAGAACATATAAATAATTAAAGAGCTTGGGGTGGGGTAGGGCATAAAAGAAGCAATCTGTGGTAAGATTTTTATGTTTATCCACAACATTTTTGTTCTAAAAAAGATTGAAAACCCTTGCTCTAGATTTTAAAAAGGGTGGAGAATGGTTAATAAAAATCTATACTGAATGCAAAAATGCAGTAAATTCTGAATAACATTCTCCATTGACCTGAGTCTAATAACTTTATTAGCCTTATCTGAAAGAGAGGACGAAAAGAGGAGAAAAATAATTTTTATGTGACTCTTTAGCACTTCATGCATTTATGCTGTTATTAAAATATGTCTTAAATATTCACATACATTAAATCACACGAGGGCTCTCTAAGCAACTAGCATAGCAACTATACTCTGGCAACTACTTTTTAATGAAATATGACTAGTTAGCATGAGATATTTGAACTTATAAATTACTTATGTCCTGGTGTCTGTCCATGGTGAATAAATATCCCTTCTGTTCAATTAAATATTTTGTGCCCAAATCTTATATGAAACTCGGATTACTTCCAAAATATAAGAAATTCTTCTTTTTTTAGAGATCACTTTTATTATTATTATTATTATTATTAT